ACAGTGGTCTTATTTAATAATTGGACGGCCCTAATTATGTTAATGTATAACGTATTAACGTATATCGCGTCTTCGAAAGTTTATTTATTAACTTCCCGTAGGGTAAGTTATTGTCCAAAAATCGAAATTGAAATCTTTTACATTTCTTCACGTTTTGGAGGTTTCTGAACATCTTGGCATACCTTAGAAAAAATGGATGTGTGTGTATGTATGTATGTATGTATGTATGGACAAAATTTTTCGTCTACGTTTTCGGGCGCACGGATCAACCGATTTGAATGGTTCAAAAAGCACTCGATTTCTATTGATAGGGAGATGTGTTGATTATTTTTGGCAAAGGAAGGTCCAGTCGTTTGGGAGATACGGAGCAAAGAGTGCAGAAAATAAAAATCGAGTTTTTGAGAGATCGGAGCATCCGATTTGAATGATCCAAAAAACCTTCAATTCGTAATGACGGGGAGAAGTGGTGATTCGTTTTTGGCAAAGGCAGGTCCGGCGGTTTCGGAGATATAGAGCTAAACGTGCGCAAAATGGCAGTTTTTGGGTGAATTAAGCGTCCGATTTGAATCATTCAAAGAACATTCTGCTTATTATGACAAGATAATTGCTTTTGAAAAAAAAAATTGTTTCAATTTTTTTTTCAATTTTTTTTGTGTATCGAAAATAATTCAGATCTTAAGTGTAATTTTGACTTAAGTTCTAATATACTTTTAACACATATTTTCAACTTTGCAATTCAGTTTATATAATTCTTATAAATATTAGATAATGTTAAAGTATTTATAATAATCTATATGAAAATATTTAATATTTCTCAAACATATTTCGTTACGGTACGGGAAGTTCCAGCAATTTGCCTTAAGGCACGATGTCATACACACCACTAGTTTATTTTTTATTTACTACTATATATTTACAACTGTCCAGTTAAGAACATTTAGTAAATTTGTGGAATTTACAACTGTCAGCCGAAATAGGGACATTGTGTACTATAGTGACATGTTGGAAAAACAACTCAATAGTTGTTTTTAACTTCCCGAAGGAGAAGTTTATGTTTTCATCAAAAAATCCGATTTGCTAATTTTATGTTTTCTCGACGTTTCAAGCCATTCTGAATCGAATGAGACCAAAATTGGAAAAAATGTGTGTGTGTATGTGTGTGTGTGCGTGTATGTGAACAGATTTTTTGCCGTAAATCTACGTTTTCTCAACAACGGCTGGACCGATTTCAAAAAATTTAAAAGCCATTCGATATATCGCGATGAGGATTAGCGGTAATCAATTTTGCGCGACGATAGGTCAAGCCGTTTCTTTGTAAATAGCAGAAAAGTGAAAAAATTTTCGGCCCCGTTTTAGCCCGCAGTTCTGAATCGATTTTGAAAATTGTTTTGTATGTCAGCATTTTTTCGTCCACGTTTTCGGGTGCACGGATCAACCGATTTGAATGGTTTAAAAAACATTAGATTCCTATTGATAGGGAGATGTGCTGATTAGTTTTTGGCAAAGAGAGATCCAGACGTTACGGAGATATGGAGCAAAGAGTCCAGAAAATAGAAATCAAGTTTTTGAGATAACGGATCATCCGATTTGTATGATCCAAAAAACATTCAATTCGTAATGACGGGGAAAAGTGCTTTTAATTTTTTGGCAGAGTTAGGCACAGCGGTTTCGGAGATACAGAGTAAAAAAAATGGCAGTTTTTGAGAGAACTAAGCGTCCAATTTAAATAATTCAAAGAACTTTCTGCTTGTTTCAACAAAATAATTGCTTTTGGAAAAAAATTTTTGTTTCTAATTTTTTTTTTCAAAAAATATTTTTGTAATTTTGGATTAAAAATTCAAAAAATTACCCAGGCTAAGCACAGTCTAAGCGTCACTCTGGTGCAAATATTGACCCAAGTGCGTTTAGACTGTTTATGTACTGGAGCACTTTTCCAATTTTGTGAAAACTATTGAAAAATGTAAAAATGCCGCCAAGCCAAGCACAGTATAAGTGAAAATGTCGCACAAAATTATTTGCAAATTCTGACTATACGGGAGCACTTTTTCAATTTTGTGTAAATTAGGCAACTATTTTTTTTTTGAAATTGAATTCGAAATGAAATGACGATTGGGTTAATGTTCTAGAGATAAATTGATTTATTTTTACATTTGATTTGCTCAGATATAACAAGATAATGCAAAAATAATGAAAGTTACAGTATTTGTAATAATATATTTGAAAACGTTTAAAATTTCTCGAATATTTCATTACGGTACGGGAAGTTCCAGCAATTTGCCTTAAGGCACGATGCCATGCACCACTAGTTATTATTATTTTTTTGACAGTAGATACCACAGTCTTCTAGATCATATTAAAATATTACGGCATTTGTCAAAATTAGACCTTTCATCGACGTTTGCTCAAAAACGCCTGAACCAATTTCAGAAATTCAAAAACCATTTGATGTGCCTCAATGAAGACTATCGCTTGTCACTTTTGTGAGACGATTGGCCGAGCCGTTCTTTTGAAATTTGGAAAAAAGTGTTAAACTTTTTGTCCGCATTTAAGCTCATACTACCGAATCGATTTTAAAAAAGCAAAAACTGTTTGCAAGATATTAGTTGGGAATGATTCTGTTTCGTTTTAGGCGAAAATCTACCGAGCCGTTTTTTTGAAATTCGTTGTAGAAAAAAAATTGAGCCGATTTTTATGAAACTTTTTGATGATATATATCATGGTCTTATACAACTTATTGAAATATTACGGCCTTACGACAAGTAATTTTAAAAAATCATCAAAGTTTGAGAAAATGAGTTTTTGACGTTTGTTAAATTAAAAATAGACGATTTACTTGGTATAACGATAGAGTACTTGGTCTTAATGAACATACTGAATCATTAAAGTCCTACGGAAACTGGTTCAATTATAAAAATTATTGATTTATGAAAATTTGCTTTTAGAAAATACTACGAGTTAACTGTTTTTTCGTTTTCAATTATGAGTAATAAATTCACTCGAAATACTTTTAATAACTCATAAATTAATTTATTTCTTATTGATTAATTCGATTAATTACACATATCGGGAAGTTCATGTAACTTGCCTCGAGGCAAAATACCAATACCAACTAGTTTCATTTGTTATAAATATAATATTTACAATATTTTGATGATAATAATATGAACTTAACTATTTTCTTCTAAATATTTTTGTATAAATTATACCTAAGTTATTTCAATCTTCATCAGGAAAATTGATGACTTAAATCAAGTGGTGACTTTTTGTTCAATCTACCTCATAGTTTTATGTTATTAAGGAGTTTGCTAGTGAATTTGGATGACTGATTAGCTGTTCTATATTTATGCACTGTTTTATTACATCTTTTATGGTAGGTGTATTTGTGTCGAGATAAATCAGCCAGTTCGAGACATATTTTGGTGCTCCTAAGGCAATTTTCATAAATTTGTTTTTTGAAAGCTCATTTTGAAGGTGGTTTTGTCATGTTTTTTTTTTTGGACTTTTTAATTATTTTTTGTTCCTTTTAAAATCAATTAACATATATTAGTATAATGTAATTTTTTTGCAATAATCAGGTTTTTAATGGATTTTTCATTATTATTCACTATCGGACAAAATAACATACCTATATTATGGACAAAATGACATAGTATTATGTTGTAAGAACTACAGGATAGTTCATTGGAGGCCAAGAAAAATTAAACTAATTTGATCCTATTCAATTTTGAATTTTGAAATATTTGATAATTTTTTTTGCTGAAATTTTCTATATTTGTTTGAGCCTTGCAAGTGAACTCAAAAAATAAAAATTCTTGGTACGGAACGCAAAGAAATTGTAACAATATTAGTACTCATTTTTAAAATTTTTATAAAATATACGATACTTTGTTGAACATATGTCTAATGATCATTTTTGACCGCCAAATATCATTTCTTTTCTACTTTTACCACAGTATCTTCGAAACCGCTAGAAGTGCCTTGCCAAAAATTTAATAATTTCTTTGTCTATACAAGGAAAATGTTTTCAGAATCATTCAAATCGTGCGCTCCGTTCTCTCAGAAACTGAATTATTGTTTTTGGCATTTTTGCCCCGTATTTTTGAAATAGCTGGATCTGCCTTAGCCAAAAATTAATCAGCACATCTTACAATGAATAAGAATCGAATGTTTTTTGAATTATTCAAGTCAGTTAATCCTTACGCCCGAAATCGTGGACGAAAAATTGATGCATTTGAAATAAAATATGTTCATTCTAACAATAAGTCCGCTTAATTAGTTTTTGTTTATATATATTTCATTCAAACATGTATAAACAACGTCGTCTAATCTAATAAGTTTTCACATTTTGTTCACAAGGAACAAATTATGAAAATTCTAGTTTTTATAATATTTATTCATAGTCATTTTTGTTGACTTATCTTTATTCTTCAAATGTTTAATTACGGTACCGAAAGTTCCAGCAATTTGCTTTAAGGCACGATACTATGCGCCCTACTTAGGTATGCCAATGTTCAGTAACATTTGAAACGTAAAGATATGCAAAAATTTTCATTTTCGAATGTTTTGCGATTACTATAGTTATATATAACTTAACCCTGTGGGAAGTTAATAATTAGTATACCAGTATAATTTTACCTTATATGTCATTTTATATAACGATATATGTACTTCATTGAAAAACTGTTGTAGTAGGTCAATGAATTTGAGATGAGTAAAAACGATTGAGACTGATTATAATATTATTTAATAAATAGAAATCATTGAAAAACAAAACACTTTATCATTTTGAAGGGGAACTTCACATGATTATTAAATTATAAGAGAAATAAACATAAATTATAAGAGAAAAGTGAGGACTACAAATTTTAATTTATTAAGTTCACAAATATACTACATATTTTAGAAAGAGCATTTTTGTACAGACCCCATAAAGTGAGAATCTCTTTTTTTTATTTATATGTTTTTAATGTATTCAGAAAATTGTCAATGATTGGATAGCGATGTACAAAGCCGATTACTACAAAGCATTGTCAGTTTTAATCAGTTTTATTTTGAATGCTAGTGGATACAATGGCATTCAAGTGACTTCAGGAATGCTAAAAACATTAGATCATTCAACTATAGCAACAAAAATCGAAGCTGATTTTATACGGGTATAATAGAAATATAACATTTTAAATTTACTGAAGAATGATGCATAATTGTTTGTTTTTTTATAGGAAGATGATAAGTTTGTTTCATTGCTCAGTAAAGATAAAAATCGTAAAAAATTCCATGAAGACTTCTGTTTGTTTATTTCTACATTAGTATATCAATGCCAATACTCGATCATTTACGATAATTTTTTTATGCAAAATGTAATTTCGATGCTGACTTGTCTATCGAAGGTAAAACTACAAATTCTTCGATACACTTCTACATTGGCAGGTAAGTTTAATTAGTGAGATTATCACATGTTCATTTTGAAATATCTTCAAGGATTCTGCAAACCTTTTAATAAAACCGTATCTCTAATCGACTATTCACTCAGGTATAAAATTAATGACGGCATTGGCAGAAATTGAATCGAAATTATCTGTAAATTGTAATTATGCCATACGTCAAGTCGAGGCAGAAGAAGCGAAAGATTTGGGAAGGCAAATGCCTGACCGATTAGAAACACTCATTGAAAAGCGAGATGAATTACTTGAAAACCAAGAGGAATTGCAAAAGATGATCAAGAGTATATTCAAATATATTTTTACACATCGTTACAAGTGAGATATTTTGATATTTTGTTTTTGACTCATACAGAAATTTTGATTATAACTATAATATAATAAAATAATTTTAAAGTTATTATTAAGAATAAGTTTAGGTTCTCAAGAAAAAAATTGATTTGCTAATTTTATATTTATTGACGTTTCAAGTCATTCTGAATGGTTGTAGACCAAGTATGGAATAAGTGTGTGTGTGTGTTTATGTGTGTATGTTTTTTATAGAGGTGCGAAAGAAAATCTTTATAAGACACTGCCATCGTTTATACTCCGCTGTCCATTCTACAGCAGACAACGATGGACGGTAGTGTGGAGATTTTTACCCACTAAAAAAACATTTCTTTCCCTATCCCCGCAGATGGTACGGAGAGGACTGGATTGGAACCGCGTTAGCATTACATCAATCCAGTCCGTGCTGCGCCTTGGGACGCTTGCTTCCGACTATGGTCCCTTTCTCCGGTTTTATCCTTCAAAAGGTGCAGTGCGTAAGCTGCTACAGCTGACCAGTTTTCTTCTTGTTTCAGGATGTAGGTCACAAGGCTTACGGGGATGAGTCTAATGCCTATAATGTTCTCGGCGTTGTTTTGATAGTTTTTCCACCGAACACATTCAAAGAACGTGTGCTCAGCGTCGTCTGTTTTATCTGGACAGTATTTGCACATTGGCGTGCTATGCAATCTCTTCTTAAACAAATAGGCATTAACCTGTCGATGTCCTGTCAATAGCTTGGTCAGAAAGAAATCTGTGTCTTCGTATTGTCGAGAGAGCCAGACGCTAATGTCCGGAATCAGGCGCGCCGTACATCTGCCCGTTCCTCTTGACGTCCACCGATTTTGCCACTTTTGCAACGTTTCCTTTTTTATTCTCGACCGATTATGAGAATTCAAAAACTATTAGAAAGCTATCATTTTGGAAGTAAGCTGATTAGTTTTGAAGTAGATAGGTCAAGACGTTTCTTTATAATTAAATGTTTAAAATTTATTTTTCGTTTTTAATGAACTTATTACGGGGTTACAGTTTTTAGTCATTGATTGATTTTTTAATCTTTGTTTTGATTTTAATAAAAGTAAGACTTTATTTTCGAAATAAATTACTGAAAATTTTATCCAAATAGCTTATTCTCAATTTTTATCGTTTAAGACCATTATTTACACAAGCGGGAAATTTGAAAGTAGTAAAGGCAAAATGGGCAAAATACACCTAGTTTATGAATAAATATTATTCATTTTACAGAGACTTCGACCCAGATATTCGTGCGAACTGTTAGCTGAACTAGGCATCTGGCTGAATACTTTTCATTCACAATTTCTGGATGATTATATATATATATATATATATATATATATATATATATATATATATGATTGATTGATTGATTGATTGATTGTTTCTCTTCCGAACAGTAAATCCAATAATAAAAAACAAATTGTTTTTTTGTAGATGTTTAATAACGACGTTTCGGAACTAGGTACCATTCATCATCAGGTTTATTCTGTCAAATACAATGTTTTTTAAAAATGTTGATTAACATTAATTAATGATGGTCAATACAGATTAATTAGAAAAAAAATTTATAAAGGAATGGATTATGTACCGGGTAAAGAGTATAAGAATAAGAATTAACTAAAAAGTTTTATATAAAATTGAGAAGCAAAAATTATTTACCTGTAATAATTTATATATCCATATCACTAATATTTTTTTTTTGTTAAAAAACACGATTTTTTGGAGGATTTGTAGATGTTACGACTACACAAGACTTAAACACACTGATATGGAGTTCTGTCGGCCAGATGTAAGGGACAATGTACGGAATTCTTGGCAAAAATGATTTTTTATGGCTCTTGTATGGTAATTTACGAAAAAAGAGGAAATATTGCTTTAGTAAATGTTGAGAAATATATGTATATGTATATATACATGCACATGTATATGCACACCTACATACTCATACATACATATGCACATACCTATATATTAATGTATCTACAATTATATACACGAACATATACGCAAGTGCATGTATAGAGGTATACACAAAAACATACATATAAGCACATATATGGATGGCATATATTACAACACAAATACATGTATATATATACATATTCAAAAATTATTAGGATTAATTGTTTTTAATCAGGTTTAAAAAATTTAGATACGAGTCATGAATGATATGTGATCTGATCTTTTATTAACACAATTGTTAATAAAATCATTTTTGCCAAGATTTCCGTACATTGTCCCTTACTCTGGCCGACAGAACTCTATATCAGTGTGTTTAAGTCTTGTTGTAGTCGTAACATCTACAAATATCCTCCAAAAAATCGTG